GGGCATCCAAGCAGAGAAATGAGAGGTGAACCATAGTCACTGATGTCAGTTTTAGATCTGGCACTAAGGAGGAGGAGAAGAAGAAAAAGAAGAAGAGTATATACGAGTATATATTGATATGTGGCCAGGAATTTCACATTGTGAAAAAAAAAAACCCAGCTTGTGTTTGTCTGTCTGTCTGTATGGTTTGTTCCTTTGAGTGTATCTAAATCTATTTTGCTAATTTTCCCTATGAACTCAATCTTTAAAAAATTAACCGCTTTTTAAAACAAAGAAACATTTTTAAAAATGCACTAGTGCTTAAAGTAAGTTAAAGGAACAGTTATCGGCATATGAGAATATTTCTAGGTGTTTCGGAGCGGAGTACTTACTATTTTTATAATGTAACGCAAAGTTTTGAGTTCACTTTAAGGAAATGTAAAGTGTTCTATTTCTAGAACATGAGGTATGTCCCTATGTTATTTTACCCGGCTCTATTACACATACTCACAACACATCGTTTACAATTGTACTCTCAAAATATCAACTGCTAATCCCTGAATAATCAAAAACTTAAATACTTGAGAAAAAAACCAACAACCCGTATTCCAGGAGACCAAACCATGGAACACATCCTCCAGCAGGGAAGGACACACAGGGCCCAGAGACAGGAAATGTGGCAAAACCCATTGACACTACAGGAAAGTTTGTTTTAGTAGAGGTTTTACTGCGCTCTCAACTGCATAAACTACAGGAAAGGAGATACGGGCCAACAGAAAAACTGAACAGGATGACCCAGTACATGAGAGAAACAGGACTTCAAGCCTGATGCAATTGACAAGAAGAAGAACAAGAAGACTATATATAGCCAATTAATCATGGACAACTTGTACTGGTACTGGCTATTAACACAACCTCTGTACAAACATCAGGACCGCGATCTATTTACCACTCACAATTTGCATCATTTCCTGAACACGCACTTAAGTAGAAAAATGTGGCACTTGCAACTTGTCTTTGTCGACAACAACACACTCACATGTTTATTATGTTCCTTTGCCAGGACAGCCATGATGTTGGTGCCAGTGACAGCTTTCAACCTGGAATAAACAGGCAACTCACTCAAACACTTTTATCATCTCATAACAAGGTACAATATTAGTATTAGGGACAAGTATCACAACTGCAACACTTTCTTGACACTTTCTTCCTCTGAGACACTCACATAGACGCGCACACATCACTACAATCCTACAGCAAGAAACAAAGTGGTAAATCCACCCCCATATCACTGCTCGCAAAAAATATTCCGCATTTCACCATTAACTTGTTCTTTTCATTATGAGATGGAAATTACAACAGAAAATGTCTGAGAAAAAAGCGAGGCTCTATAAATAAATTTCTGCCTGTTAAGGGAGTAACGACATCCTGCTCACAACAGAAGACGGAAAAGAGGCAAAAGGAACACTCAGTAAATTGAGGCAGCTACATGCAACCATATTGCCCGAAAGCGCACATTACAAGCAAATCATCAGCGAGACAGGACATTCTATAGCTAATTGTTTGACTGAGAGTTACTTTCAACTATTTATTCTTAATAAATATTTGCTGCAATTGCATCTACAACATTTTTATCCTTTTCCTATGCTGCACACTGAACTACCCGTCTGCTTGGGTAGTTTACTACTATGACAAGATATTAGAGTAGTTTACTACTATGACAAGATATTAGAGTAGTTTACTACTATGACCAGTTATTAGAGTAGTTTACTACTATGACCAGTTATTAGAGTAGTTTACTACTATGACAAGATATTAGAGTAGGCCTATTTTACTACTATGACAAGATATTAGAGTAGTTTACTACTATGACCAGTCATTAGAGTAGTTTACTACTATGACCAGTCATTAGAGTAGTTTACTGCTATGACAAGATATTAGAGTAGTTTACTACTATGACAAGTTGTTACAATCGGACATACCCTCCATTCGCCATGATAGAGTGTGTGCCAACGATGACCTTGTTGACCAGTGGCATGATGGTGCCAATCTGGCATTCAGTGATCAATGTTGTGTTAATTTTAGCCTGTGCCAAGTTTTTGGCCATCTCATGACCCTGTAAAATTACATAAAGAAAAAACAAAAAACAAAATGTTGAAGACACAAAAGCTATACAGAAGAATCAACATATTCACTCTCGTTAAAAAAAATATAATTGTTCTGAAGTTTAATTTGGTCAGAATAATATTCTTAAAACTTATAGTTACAATTTGTGCGGAGCTAACTTCCTTCCATTGAAAATAAGCGAACTGTACTGGTCCTGAACTCAGCGACTAGGTGTGGGTGGTTAGTGGGAGCTCTGGTGCCATTTGCTCCTTCTTTCCTATAACACATCTATTGTCTTTATCTTTTCTCCTTCTTTCCTTTGCATGTTACTCTCCGGTAACAGCTCTAATCTGCGGCACATATGACCCAATTGTGTTGCAAGTGCTGCAAAACTCTTATTAAAAATTAAAATAAACTTAAAGACTAAGTAGTTGTTCAGTCTTCTAGACTCGAGGGATAAAGGGTTAATTACGGCTATTGTTATTTCAGCACTGCACTAAAAACTGAAACATTTGAAAAGCTGAAAATATAGATTCCAACATTTAAGAACGGAAGAAATTTTCACAAAACCTTGACAGCTTTTGGTTTTCAATATAATGAAATAGTTTATCATTCCATATGACAACAGAGAAACTTGCACAAAGACTTACACCGTAGAACGGAGCTCCTTCTGATACATAAACTCTGAACTTAATGTGTTTGTGTGCAGCACTCTGGAAAAAAGACATGAGGAAGAAAATGGTACTATTACAAGATATACGTGTCAACCACGGTACATTCAGTTAACCAGACTTGGTGACCAAGGTAAAATTTTACCTGTAAAACTGGATTCAGTGCAACAGTAAAAAACAACTAATCAGTACAATAGTCTCTCATTCTAGAAACATGACTCTTAGGAATAATTCGAAAACTAATTAGGAATTTAGTAAAGAGAAGTAAAAAAGATGCTTTCATTTAACCCTATGAGGAAACTCATTTTATAATGGCCTTTTATCACAAAGGCCATTACTGCTGTTCCCACTTTCCCAAACACCCCACCACCTACTTGAAAGTTGAAATCGATACTGTACACACTAAATTCTTCTATGTGCGGTTTGATATAATGAAGATTTACTCTAAACCAACCCCACCACCTACTTGAAAGTTGAAATCGATACTGTACACACTAAATTCTTCTATGTGCGGTTTGATATAATGAAGATTTACTTTAAACCAACCCCACCACCCCACTCTCTACTTGAAAGTTGAAATCGATACTGTACACACTTTCCCAAACACCCCACCCTCTACTTGAAAGTTGAAATCGATACTGTACACACTAAATTCTTCTATGTGCGCTTTGACATAATGCAGCTTTACTCGAAACCAAAGGACTCTTCCACATAAGCAGTTGACATACGTTGAAAAAATCCCTTTTTTAAAAAGCTTACCAGAAAATATACCACTTTTCTAAATAAAAATAAAAATTGTACTTTGTAATTCCACACTAAGCATGACAAAGGAAAGATCACTTGCATCAACTGTGGCCTATTGCTAAATAAGAGTCCAGCAATGGTGCATGGCACTTGTGCATACATTGTTAGGGGCTGCAGGTTGGGCTGTTGCAGTTGATGGTTAAATCGGCTGGACATAGAAATCTTTGCCTTATGTATGAATTTTGCAACAGACAAATTCTAGGCTGCACCAAGGAAGATAACCAAGTTGGACAATCGGGTCAACAGTTACATGAATTATGCCCCCTTATGCAAACCGGCGTGCGTGATAGATTCACGGCAATTTCATTTCTTCATCTTAATGCTGTAGTTCTCAGTCTTCACTGAAATAATTTGACTTGAGAGGGAAACAGCTATAGCCTTCCCCTGTTGAAACCAACAAAACAATAGGCTTGTTCTACTGCCCTTTACCTCATCAGTTTATGCCTTTTCCTCCCTGGTTCAGCACTATTCTCCCCCCCCCCCAAGCCTCGAAAAACGCTTCAACCAGGGTGAACAAACTTAAGTTGACCCCGTCAACGGACGGTCCTTGACACGCGCAAAACTCGCACGCCAAAGTCATGTCACGTGATGCAAACGCACGATTGAAAGTTTTACTCACGGATCTTGATGACGGGACCGACTAGCCTAAACAGAACTTGGAGTAGGACAAAGCTTGTTTTGAAAGTAACAGCAGAACTATGTATAATATTGATCATTTGTATGGTGCAATAGAAACAGTTTTCATGCCATCATTGGAGAGTTCTGAGATTACGGGTCCGTAGCCTAACTAGACTAAACGGCAACTAAAGTGAGCAGGATAAATCTAGGTCTACCGTTGAACATTCCTGTGTCGTATGACACAAACACGTCCTTGGCCTACACCTAGGCTACACTACTGCCCTCGGCTTGAGCCTATTGAGAGGTCAAGGCCTTCACTCCTACTGTGCCCCCCCCCCTCCTCTCTCTCTCTCTCTCTCTCTCTCTCTCTCCATCTATCTCCACGGCTACTTCAATAAAACAAAACTTGTGGCCGTCTATAGGCCTGCATGTAATTAGATCTACCCTCGATGTTGCCGATTTTTTCCCTCACAATGCACCAATTGCCAAGTCTTTGCGTGTGTTCTGATACACAGAATGATATAGGCCTCCAAGACAATTCAGGACCTCAAATTCTGTTCGCCACATCTATTATTCTATGTGCGTCTTATCGACATTTAATGAAAGAATGAATTCCTGCCTTTTTTTTCCAGAACTAAATCACAATCTTTAAAGTTTGACCACAACGTGCTCTTACGTGTCCAAACGACCCACAAACATGAGCCAACCATGTCAAAACCAGCCACAATTTGTAACGTACGCTAAACCTGGGCAAATCACAGTGCGGACTTGCCAGATCAATTATATTGAGGTCGTAGTGTTTACTACAACATAGATCTAATTGGGTTATTTCTGGGCGTGCAACACTCATTTTGGTCAGTAGGGCAAGCTGAGACAGACTAGCAACGTAACCAAATGCAAAGAGCAAGAAACTGTGGACTGAGAGAATGACTACTCCAAAATTTTTATGAAGTGGACAATTTGTCCCAAACCGGAAAAGATGGGAAGCTTAATTTCAAACGTCAGAATTCCGGCATATGCCGGAAAACTTTCACCCAAGCCCAGAACACATATACAAAATGTACTCATGTCTACAGTCTATTAAAAATACATTTGATCAGTGTTGTTTTCTATGACAACCCTATCATACTCCTGAAATCTATTACTTACTTTGAGAAAAGCCTCCACTGTCTTGGACCTTCCAATGGTGAGGATAACATCGTTTTCGTTTACATAGTTCGGGGCTAGAGCAGCAATATTTTCCACACTGAAACACACAAAAATAATCAGTGTTCTGAAACAAAAAAATGATAAAAATGGAAGAAAAAAATTCAACAATTCTTTTGTTACATCACAATATTCACTTGCTGCTGAATTGATTTACGAACAAACCATTCAATGTGAACCAACAATTCACTAGTAAAGAGTGAATCGTAAGCGTATAATGTACATATAGGGATATGAGTATTTTCAAGGGGCTAAGGGGCTAAATAATTCATTCTACAATTAGATGTCAGCAAAAGATTTGAAGTTTGTATAATGATGCTATCCATCTTCTCAGAAAGTAAAGTACAGAAGTCTGAAACAAATGCATGCTTATAAACAGAGATCCCATACCCATCAGTTCAATCAAGGACTTACCATCCCTCTAATTCAATCTTTAATTCCGACACAGCTTCGATGACTCGAGCCTGAAGAGACACATAGAGATCAGGAAGTCAATAAAACATTTAAATTCTACAAGCTAAACAAAATGACCAAACAACAAAAATCTGCATTAACACGACAAAATGGGACACAAAGTCGTACTTCACAATATGTTGTTGTTATGTTGTTGTTAGCGATCCAGGTACTTCACAATATGTTGTTGTTATGTTGTTGTTAGCGATCCAGATACTTCACAATATGCTGTTGTTATGTTGTTGTTAGCGATCCAGATACTTCACAATATGTTGTTGTTATGTTGTTGTTAGCGATCCAGATACTTCACAATATGCTGTTGTTATGTTGTTGTTAGCGATCCAGATACTTCACAATATGTTGTTGTTATGTTGTTGTTAGCGATCCAGGTACTTCACAATATGTTGTTGTTAGCGATCCAGGTACTTCACAATATGTTGTTGTTATGTTGTTATTAGCGATCCAGATACTTCACAATATGTTGTTGTTATGTTGTTGTTA